GGCGTGACTGCATTCGCTCAATGTGTGTTTTTAGAGAAATTTAATTTGACTCTTTGGAAAAATAAAAATGGGCTTTAGTGTTTTGACAAAATATACATGTGTCCATTTTAGCACCGTTTTGGTGTACGGTAAAAATATTTAACATGATTTTTTTTTTTTAAATGGGTTTTCATTCTTAAGATTAAATCAGGTGACGCTTTGCCTCTGGGGAAAAGCACAACCAGACGCTTCTGTAAAGTCCAACATTTCACTGTTCACCAGACCGCCTGGAGCAAAGAAGTCCAGCGTGACTACTGTGATAAAGCGGCTCCATTTATAGGGTTGGTAGGATTTCTAGGAGTGAGATCACATGAGTGTCAATGGCTCCATAAACATATGCTGTGAACTAGAAGAAGCAAAAACGGACAGAATACGTCTGTGTTCTAGCTGTATTTTTAGTGTCTTAAATGCAAGAAGACTGTCATCTCATGCCAGAACTTATCAGCACTTCAGCAATCCTGCTGAATCTGTCCTCTTTGTGGAGGATGTTGAACTCCACCAGAGACTAAGACGTTACAAATGGCCTCTTAAATATTTGTCTCAGCAGGCTCAAGCTCACTAAAATATGTATTTGCAGTCTTGTTGCTTTGATTTACATCTAAAATTTGTTCCTTTCAGGTTTGATCTTCCCATGCTCTCTTTCAGACCAGTGGTGACTGGTTTAACTAAATGTTAGGAGGTCACGTAATGTTTTATCTTCAAGCACAATTGTCCACTGACAATGATTGAAAGGTCTGCACTCTCTGTCCAGGTGGGGTGTGTCCATCTGAGCGTGGTCTCGCGTGGCGGTTTTTGTTCGGGATGTACCCGTGTGGTTCAACAGCTTTAGAGCGCTCGTTGCTGCAGGACCAGTTGGCCGTACGTTATCAGGTGATGAAGAGAAAATGGCAGCACTTCCTCCCCTCAGCCATGCGAATGCGCCTCAATGGTACTGATGGTAAGTTGTACGGCTGTCAGTTAAAAGCCACGTACAGTAGATTCCTTCTTTTTCCAATTTTTTTTCTATTGTTGTTTGTTTTTAACTGCCGTGATTTCTCACTCTTTTCCCTAAATATCTTATATGTGATCAAGCTGAGTTGCTGGCAGCCGTCAGGTACTTTGACCAGAGACAGGCACAGACCCAGCAACAGTCTCAGGACAGGTCAGAGGCGGTCAGAGTTAGAATGGCTTTTTTGGAGCTTCAGGCACAGGTCAGTTCAACTAAACATCTGTGAGTATTATTGTGACCTGTCTGATGTCTGGCTTTTTGCTTCTTTTACGCATACTTGTCTCTACTCACTATTGTTCTGCATTGTTTTTTGTTAAGTTATATTTAAAATGTTCCCTTTGGTTTTTCTTTGTAGAACATAAGAACAGTTTAAAGTGAGGGAAATAAAATAAATGCAGTATATTTATTCAAATGAAACAACAGGATCTAAATTTGTTAAAGGGTTTGCCATTTACCTACTACCTCTTTGTACTAACTTTTCCTATAAACAGATATTGTTTGAGCGGGTCACATTTGACCGTGAGGAGCTGCAGGAAGCCATTCGAATCATTGATAAAGATGTGCCCCGAACCAACAGAGACCTGAGCTATTACCAGTAAGTGATTATCAGTTATGGTATTTTTTTTTAAACTAACTTTGATAATTTTTTAAAGAGGTCTACATACACTTATTTTGTTTGTCTGTCACTACTGATCAAGCACCAGATATCTTTCACAGCAGCCAGCAGCAAAAAATCCAATTGTTTAAATTGAAGGACAAAGTGAGTTTCTGCTCTCTAAAAGGTTCGGGGCAAGACGATAAAAAAAAGAACACCACAGTTAGGGCTGTTCAATATGATGATATACATATCGGATGACGATATGAAAACATCTATCGTGTCATATTATACGCTATCGTTTGTTTCGTGGTGTCGCAAAATAAGCTGTTTACGGCAATATTTTTTCATCATTTTTATGGTCACTGTAGTGGCTATAATAATGTCTTGAAGTTCTCTCTCTCTCTCTCTCTCTCTCTCTCTCTCTCTCTCCCTCTCTCTCTCTCTCCTCTCTCTCTCCTCTCTCTCTCTCTCTCTCTTCTCTCTCTCTCTCTCTCCTCTCTCTCTCTCTCTCGTCTCTCTCTCTCTCTCTCTCTCTCTCACACACACTATGGACGGACAAGCGACTGTTTTTATGTATCGGTTCATTAGTAACAATGACGGTAAAACCATCGTGTATCTCTGCTGTCCGCTTGTTTATTTACCACATAAACCTTTCACAATAAAGCTCAAGATCCTGTTGAAATTTTTCAAAATAAGCTGAAATGATGGGAAAATACATTATTCGCAAATATTACATTTCAGAATATGCATCAAAAAAATTACCTCAAATAAAAACGTGAAGTAACTATAAATGGCGCTTACAGTCAACACGTGGATGCAGGCACAGAAAATACCAGCATGCCAGTGAAGATGAGGCAGAACCAAGTAGCTCCAAACAGAAGGACCGGTCCAAAACAAATTGAGGACCTTATTCCTAAACTAGGGGCTACCTCTGTAGCATGGAAATGGTTTGGGTATAAAAAGTCTGACACAGACCAGAAAACTGTACTATGCAAATTATGCCGCAAATGGGTCCTAACCACAGACTCAAACATGACAAACTTCTACCACCTACGTAAGAATCACGTGAAAGAGTATGGGAGAGAGTTTACAGATGAATAGCCAAAGAAGCCATCATGTCTAAAAAATAAACTTTACAGAGGGGGTCTGTCACATTATCCATGTTGGGAGGCTGCAAAGCATAAAGAATGCGGTTAAATGTCCCCTGGAGCACCTTGGAAATAGTTTTGAGCAGTGGTAAGCATCATGGCAGTTGTTGTTCACACTTCTGATCATCTGATTATCTCAGCAGTTTTGAAGCAGCTAAACATTCCCTTAAGATGTTCTTCTGATACAATACCATGTCACAATTAACACAGAATAACTTCAACCCCCCCCAAACATTACAGTCCTGTTTAACTTACAGGGAGTGCAGAATTATTAGGCAAGTTGTATTTTTGAGGAATAATTTTATTATTGAACAACAACCATGTTCTCAATGAACCCAAAAAACTCATTAATATCAAAGCTGAATGTTTTGGAAGTAGTTTTTAGTTTGTTTTTCGTTTAACTATTTTAGGGGATATCTGTGTGTGCAGGTGACTATTACTGTGCATAATATTAGGCAACTTAACAAAAAACAAATATATACCCATTTCAATTATTATATTTTACCAGTGAAACCAATATAACATCTCCACATTCACAAATATACATTTCTGACATTCAAAACAAAACAAAAACAAATCAGCGACCAATATGGCCACCTTTCTTTTGCAAGGACACTCAAAAGCCTGCCATCCATGGATTCTGTCAGTGTTTTGATCTGTTCACCATCAACATTGCGTGCAGCAGCAACCACAGCCTCCCAGACACTGTTCAGAGAGGTGTACTGTACTGTACTGTTGTAAATCTCACATTTGATGATGGACCACAGGTTCTCAATGGGGTCAGATCAGGTGAACAAGGAGGCCATGTCATTAGTTTTTCTCTTTTATACCCTTTCTGCCAGCCACGCTGTGGAGTACTTGGACGCGTGTGATGGAGCATTGTCCTGCATGAAAATCATGTTTTTCTTGAATGATGCAGACTTCTTCCTGTACCACTGCTTGAAGAAGGTGTCTTCCAGAAACTGGCAGTAGGACTGGAGTTGAGCTTGACTCCATCCTCAACCCGGAAAGGCCCCACAAGCTCATCTTTGATGATACCAGCCCAAACCAGTACTCCACCTCCACCTTGCTGGCGTCTGAGTCGGACTGGAGCTCTCTGCCCTTTACCATCCAGCCACGGGCCCACCATCTGGCCCATCAAGACTCACTCTCATTCATCAGTCCATAAAACCTTAGAAAATCAGTCTTGAGATATTCTTGGCCCAGTCTGACGTTTCAGCTTGTGTGTCTTGTTCAGTGGTGGTCGTCTTTCAGCCTTCTACCTTGGCCATGTCTCTGAGTATTGCACACCTTGTGCTTTGGGCACTCCAGTGATGTTGCAGCTCTGAAATATGGCCAAACTGGTGGCAAGTGGCATCTTGGCAGCTGCACGCTTGACTTTTCTCAGTTCATGGGCAGTTATTTGCGCCTTGGTTTTTTCGCACGCTTCTTGCGACCCTGTTGACTATTTGAATGAAACGCTTGATTGTCGATGATCACGCTTCAGAAGCTTTGCAATTTGAGACTGCTGCATCCCTCTGCGAGATATCTCACTATTTTTGACTTTTTCTGAGCCTGTCAAGTCCTTCTTGACCCATTTTGCCAAAGGAAAGGAAGTTGCCTAATAATATGCACACCTGATATAGGGTGTTGATGTCATTAGACCACACCCCTTCTCATTACAGAGATGCACATCACCTAATATGCTTAATTGGTAGTAGGCTTTGAACCTATACAGCTTGAGTAAGACAACATGCATGAAGAGGATGATGTGGACAAAATACTCATTGCCTAATAATTCTGCACTCCCTGTATTTCTCTGTGCGTGTGTGTGTTTCAAACAAGGGTTTTACTAACACTGAGTCATCAGTGTAATGTCAGAGACACCCACTGCTGGGCGTCACATATTTATTTGAGTTCAGAATCTGTAAGTCTGTGGTCTCCATCTTTTTAACACTGATACTTTGTCGGCATTGAGACAGCTATCAGGTAGTCCACACCTGCACTGAAATTTATTGAGATTTCAATATTACATAGATTTGTTGCCTTATTACTGTACCAATTGCTGTTTAAATGAAATAAAACTGTATAAAGCTTTTGAATTAGAGGCCTTTCATTGTCATTATACAGCAAGCTGCTGTCAAAATGGAACACAAAACTGTCACAGTTACCCAAAAGTGACCCATTATTAGGTTGAAAAATAACAGCTGTGCATCAACAGGTGTTCAAGCATAAGTAGTATAACATATGATGTAAATATAGATAAAACCTGCGCATGTAGGCCAACATAAATGGGGTATATAGGTCAACACGCATACTAATTCCCCTTTATAAAAGTCATAAAAAACAAACTTTTAAAGTAAAACACTTTTTAATTTCAGCATGATATGTAGACAGATTGAAAATGTAAAAGTGAGGTCGGAGGTAAAATGTGACATGATATTTGTATGCAAGCTATAACTTGATATTTAGAATTCCCATATATCATTAGTTATATGCCTATTTATGTTGGCAATACAAACAATGGCATTAAGAAAAACTGTTTTAAATAACTCTATACAGCATTATTATCATCACGCTGACCTTCAAATCAGTCTGACTTTGGAGGAGAGGTAAGAGTTTAAATCTAACATATTTTAAATCTTTATATGGTAAATTATTTATTTTGACAATACAAAACATGCTTGTAAGAAGTCCTTTTGAGTAATTATGCTTACCATCAGAATGACAATAACTGAGGTCATGATCATGAGGTAATGTGGTTATGGTACAGAGTTATATACAGTGGGGCAAAAAAGTATTTAGTCAGCCACCGATTGTGCAAGTTCCCCCACTAAAATGATGAGGTCAGTAACTTGCACCAGAGGTACACTTCAACTGTGAGAGACAGAATGTGAAAAAAAAAAATCCATGAATCCACATGGTAGGATTTGTAAAGAATTTATTCGTAAATCAGGGTGGAAAATAAGTATTTGGTCAATAACAAAAATACAACTCAATACTTTGTAACATAACCTTTGTTGGCAATAACAGAGGTCAAACGTTTACTATAGGTCTTTACCAGGTTTGCACACACAGTAGCTGGTATTTTGGCCCATTCCTCCATGCAGATCTTCTCGAGAGCAGTGATGTTTTGGGGCTGTCGCCGAGCAACACGGACTTTCAACTCCCGCCACAGATTTTCTATGGGGTTGAGGTCTGGAGACTGGCTAGGCCACTCCAGGACTTTCAAATGCTTCTTACGGAGCCACTCCTTTGTTCCCGGGCGGTGTGTTTTGGATCATTGTCATGTTGGAAGACCCAGCCTCGTTTCATCTTCAAAGTTCTCACTGATGGAAGGAGGTTTTGGCTCAAAATCTCACGATACATGGCCCCATTCATTCTGTCCTTAACACGGATCAGTCGTCCTGCCCCTTGGCAGAAAAACAGCCCCATAGCATGATGTTTCCACCCCCATGCTTCACAGTAGGTATGGTGTTCTTGGGATGCAACTCAGTATTCTTCTTCCTCCACACACGACGAGTTGAGTTTATACCAAAAAGTTCTACTTTGGTTTCATCTGACCACATGACATTCTCCAATCCTCTGCTGTATCATCCATGTGCTCTCTGGCAAACTTCAGACGGGCCTGGACATGCACTGGCTTCAGCAGCGGAACACGTCTGGCACTGCGGGATTTGATTCCCTGCCGTTGTAGTGTGTACTGATGGTGACCTTTGTTACTTTGGTCCCAGCTCTCTGCAGGTCATTCACCAGGTCCCCCGTGTGGTTCTGGGATCTTTGCTCACCGTTCTCATGATCATTTTGACCCCACGGGATGAGATCTTGCGTGGAGCCCCAGATCGAGGGAGATTATCAGTGGTCTTGTATGTCTTCCATTTCTGATGATTGCTCCCACAGTTGATTTTTTTCACACCAAGCTGCTTGCCTATTGTAGATTCACTCTTCCCAGTCTGGTGCAGGTCTACAATACTTTTCCTGGTGTCCTTCGAAAGCTCCTTGGTCTTGGCCATGGCGGAGTTTGGAGTCTGACTGTTTGAGGCTGTGGACGGGTGTCTTTTATACAGATAAGTTCAAACAGGTGCCATTCATACAGGTAACGAGTGGGGGACAGAAAAGCTTCTTACAGAAGACGTTACAGATCTGTGAGAGCCAGATTTTCCTTGTTTGAGGTGACCAAATACTTATTTTCACCCTAATTTACGAATAAATTCTTTACAAATCCTACCATGTGAATTCATGGATTTTTTTTTTTTTTTTCCACATTCTGTCTCTCACTGTTGAAGTGTACCTCTGGTGCAAATTACTGACCTCTGTCATCATTTTAAGTGGGGGACTTGCACAATCGGTGGCTGACTAAATACTTTTTTGCCCCACTGTAGTTGTACATTTGAGAGTTGTAGAGATAAGTATTTTGTAATTTCACAGTGACTTAACAAATATCAATACAATATTACACAGAGTATAGATAAATATAATATACAGAGTATTCTAAAAATTTAAGATACCACTCATTGTGGTACTGTACAGGAGAGAACTTGCACCAAGAAGAATACTCTTAATAAAAGAGGATGTGGTAGTGGTGGTAGAGAGGGGAGTCAGTGCAAAGTTTACCGTTGTACTGGTGTTTGAGAAGAAACAGTTTCTTTTTGGTCCCCTTGATCTACAAGTCGCTGTAGCTGATGCCAGAGGTGAGCAAGTTGAATCAGTCAGAACAAGGATGTGATGGATCCTCTAAAATATAACCCAATTTCCAACCTTTCTTTTATCTAAAAATAAAAAAATCTTACAAAGTAGTGGAACAGATCATCTGCAGAGAATGGTTTATTTGAGGAGTTTCAGTCAGGTTTCGGAGCTCATTACAGTACAAAAACAGCTTTAGTGAGGGTTACAAATTATATTCTTATGGCCTCTGACAGTGGACTCATACATCTGCTTGTCCTGCTAGAGTGGGGAACTCCAGTGTACTGAAGGTTTTAGATGTGTCCTTGAGCCAACACAGCTGATTTAAATGGCCAAAACACCTCCTCAACATGTCTTGAAGTCTCCAGAGGCCTTGTAATGAATTAATCTTTATTCATCTAAAACCTGCAGGACAGGCCTTGAGGCCTGGATTCTCTACCCGTGCTAGACCTTAACATTAAATGCAACATTAAATACTGTTCACCATAATGTTTTACTACAGTAATTACAAAATCCTGTAGGTATTAAAGGGAATGTGCTGTGCAGTAGTATGATCATATCTATCTAACAGATTCAAATTTGTTCATGTTAATGGAGTCTTCTTCAAACACTAAGGTTAATTATGGAGTTCCACAGGGTTCCACACTAGAACCAGTTCTGTACAGTCTGTTTACACAGAAGGCATAGCATACATTTTCGCTCTCTACAGATATACCCAGGTCTCCATGAAACCATAATACACGTAACGATTTGCCTCTAATGACCTCTATTGACCTCTAATTTCTTGCTTCTGAATTCAGATAAAACTCAGGTTTTGTGTTCAGCCCTAAAAATCTTAGAATTGATGTCTAACCAGATCCTTACTCTGGATGGCATGTACCGTGATCTCCAGTAACACTGTGAGGAATCTTTGAGTCTTTATTAATTAGGCCATGTCCTTCAATGGACATAATGAACAAATATGTAGGAATGATTTCTTCCATTTTGGCAATATCTCCAAAATTAAAAATATCCTGTCTCAAGTTGACGCTGTAATTCGTTATCAGGTTTTCCTAAAACTCCCTGAAAAGCCTTCAGTTGTTCCAAAATGCTACAGCAAGACTACTGCCAGGACTAGAAAAAGCATATTTCTCCTATTTTGGCTTCCCTGTTCCATCCAGAATTGAATTTAAAATCCTTCTCCTCACATACAAGGTCTTGAATAATCAAGCCACATGTTATCTTAAAGACGTCATAGTACCATGTCACCCCATTAGAGTACTGCACCCTCAGACTTTTGGTTTACTTGTGGTTTCTAGAATATTTAAAAGTAGAATTCAGCTTTAAGGTCCTTCCTCTGTGGAACCACCGCAGTTTGGATTCGGGAGACAGACGCTGTCTGTGCTTTTAAGATTAGGCTTAAAACTTTCCACTTAGGTTTAGATTTCTTCCTATTAAAAGTTTTTCCTTCCCACAGTCACCAAAGTGCTTGCTCATAGGGGTGTTTTTCGGTCTATGATGGTAGGGTCTTTACATTACAATATAAAGCACCTTGGCAGCTATTGTTGTGATTTGGTGCTATATAAATAGAATTGAATTGAAAATATTTTACACACTGTTGAGGCAGCAGGAAGTGAACAAGTCAAATGGGGCAGAGAGGACCTGGTGATCTTCTGAGCTGTATTAATTGATGTGCTGTAGCCTCCTCTCTGCTTCAGTGCAGCTCCTGTATCTCACCATGAGACAACATTTAGACACATGACACAATGGTCAGTGAATAATCATTTGTTCACTGATTGGAAAAATGTGTCATGTATCGGCATCATGTTAGAGATGATGATGTGTAGATTCTTCAGTCTAAACTACATTTCAGATTCTAAATTTGGACTAACTGCGGCTTAAAATGAGTTTTTGAATCGAGGCTACAGATATCTGAGGAGCGGTGGTAAGCTCCAAGACCAGTGTGACACTGAACTGGCAAAGTGGGTGGGAAGTAGGAGAAAAGGAAATATTCTGAAGGCCTTTCATTAATAAGATATTTATGTTCACACTTTTAAATACAGCCAATAAATGCTGTTAACCAACAGATGATTTTAAAAAATTTAGTTGTACATTTTTAATGCATTTTGACAAAATTTTTCCTCTTTTCTATGCAAATGACCCAAATCAGTGTTACTGGGTATGAATAGCATTTAATGTTCATAATTAAACTGCCTTTTTTGCAGTTTCTGTCACCTGCATTTTGTTCTTGACGAGCTTAATCATTTTAAACATTAGAATTTTGGGTAGGAATCCAGCTTGCTCTATTAAGGAAAAGTGAAGTTGGGTAAATGATGACTAAGTGGACAACACTGAATAAAAACCCCTCGCTTCGTTTATTTCTTAGAAACTTAAAATTATTTAACTGACTTTCAATTGAAGACTTAGTAGTTAAATGTCACATCTGACAATCTCTCCATGAGTGAAGGTTTAATTTGGGGCATAAAGCATCACCAGTGTTACGCATCAAAACAAGTTTTGGCAGCTGTGTTGAACTAATTCTGCTTATTTATAACATACTAATTTGTTTGTGTCTGTGGATGTTTGCAGGAATGAAGGCTAGGCAATCTGTTGGTTCTGCGAGAAATTCTATCACTTATGCTGCTTTTCATCCAGGTAACGACCCTGTGTCAGGTTGCTGACTCGTCTGGATCAGATGGATTTAAGTTGTTTGTTGAGCTATAAAAAAGAGGCTAACTCTTTATGCATTGCTCCCTTTGCTGTAAATCCAGAGGTCAGTTATGCCCAGGGATGAATGACCTGTGCAGCCGATTCCTGGAGTCCTCGACTGTGAGGTTGACACTTTCTGGAGTTTTTCGTGCTACATGGAGAATTCTCCAGGGACTTCAGGGCCGATGGTCTACACAGGAAATGGTGCGATAACAAAACAGATATTAAAAAAATACTTTGACACAAATAGTGTTTTGTTTATGTCTGCCACACCCACTGTTGTCATGGTGTAAGATCTGTAAATTAAACTTTCCTTTTCTGTTTTCAGATAATAAATTTCATTCAGCTTCTGCACCGTTGTGCTCATATACACCCTTATTTTATAGTTCAGTCAAGCACTGCCTGCTTTTTCTTTTTATCTAAAGATAATATGTTACTTTATGACCCCTAGTGGCCAAACAAAGACACTAACTTTATTTCCAGGGTAGAAATTTGATGGTAGGTCGGATATGCAGAACAAAATCATTTAGCCCAAAATCCAATTAAAATAGAATTAAGTCTCTATAAAAACAAAAAAATGTTTTGTATAAATTAGTTAGTTAAAGTATAAAGTTTTGTTAACATCTAGAGTTGAGGCAGCTCTGCTGAAGAACTGGACCTCCGCTTTATGCTCATCTGATGAAAGGCAACATGGAGAGTACGTTTGTCACAGGTAGATCTGCAAGGCTTTGTTTTCTGTGCTCTATTTATTTATTTATTTTGAGTTTTCAAATGCATTTTGCAAGGTTTTTTGTTTGTTTTTTTCCCCCCCACACAAACGTCTTATTTACATGTAAGCACATGTTGCCCCTCCTTTAAGGTGGCTGCTGCTTGGTTTCCAGAGGGAGTTTGAACACAGCGAAGCACTACGCTTGTTCGAGATCCTGAGATGTGACCACCTGGAGCTCATCTCACAGCAAGTCGACCGAGCTCGTTACCAGGAAAGAGTTGCTCAGAAATTCAGCACAGGTAAAGCCCGGAAACACAAAAGAAAAGTAGAAAAACCCCCACAAAAACACAAACCTCTTGCTACTTCTTATTATGCCTTGCCTTGTGATATTGCCAGAAGACGGTTCAGAGTCAGAGCTGCAGGCGATCAACACTGACTTCACCTTTGAGCTCTTCATCTGTGCAGCCATCCTTTTAGAGCACAGAGAGTCTCTGTTGCAGTGCCCAGATGACTTTCAGCTCCTCCAATATACTAACGGGTTTTTTTTGTGCTGCATCACACGGCTCATCACAAATAAGATGTGCATGTGTTAGTTAATGTGTGTGTGTGTGCTTTGTGCAGCCTTCAGGGGACACTGGACCTGAACAGTATACTGAAGAAAGCCGAGCTCATTTCTACAACTACTGCAAGCGCTGTGCTTGGGATTTTACGAATGGTCGCTGCAGGCCTGATCGGAGCAACACGAGGACTTTTTTTATCATCTCCGTAGTTTATTTGTTTTAAAATGATTTTATTTTTTTTAATGATCTCACAGGTTGTAATCTGTAGCTGACAGTTAATCCCTACATGCACTTTTTGATGCCACTTACTTTTTGTCTGAGGGAAACACTAATGTACTGCTGGTTGCTGCTCACTTTAAATTTGCTCACTCATCACTATGAGTACGTGTACACTATTTATTGTCTTATAGTTGACCAACACTGGGTGCAAGTTGTTGTGCGGTGATTTTTTATTTTATTTTATTTTTTTATGCAAGGTCTAATCTTTATTACTTCACAGTAGGAGCTTTGTTTTATTTTTTTTCCAGGTTGTTAGCAGTTTATAAATAGGCCCGGTCTCTTCGCTGGCAGTTATATTTAATGGTAGATGATACATGTGTCAGAGGGGCCTACAGTATGTGTACCACAAAGTGTCCAGAAACCACATTGCATAACTGTCCTAAATAGGAATGACAAACATGCACACTACACTATGAATTTAAAAAAATGTACCTCAGTAAAAGTGTTGAAGATTTTTATTCTGCTGGTGAATAAACCTGTTTCATTACATTTTTGAATTTTTTTTAAATAAAGATGACCTTGTGTTTTGAAAGACCCTGTTTTACTATGTAATTGATTGAGCTGAATTAAAGTCATTTGTATGTAGGAATGCAAAAGAAGATCCTCTAAGAAGCCTTAACATCAAATCTGAATAACTGTGCGACTTCAGACACCAAAAAAGATGGACTTTACAGGCATTATCACAAATGAGGTCAGTGCTATAAAAAATAGTTCTGCTAAAGTGAGTTAAATCAAATCACTTTTTATTGTCACATCACATGTGCAGGCACACTGGCACAGCACATGCGAGTGAAATTCTTGTGTGCGAGCCCACAAGCAACAGAGATGTGCAAACACACAACACAAACGAGCAAAATACAAGAATGGCCAACCTGAAACTAATAATATATGTACAATATATAATAGTGTATGCATTTCTGGATGTGTATACTAAATATTTTCCTGTGTGTGTGTGTGTGTGTGTGTGTGTATACACATTTTTACAAATTAAATAGTAAAAAAATAAAATAATATAATAAAATATATAAAATATACAGAGTTGAATATGTGCAAAACAAGTGGCATTTATATACAGTGTGGAGTGCATAATGTTGAAGTTCCAGTAGTGAAGCTGAGGTGTCTGACGTGTTCAGCAGTCTGATGGCCTGATGGAAAAAGCTGTCTCTCAGTCTGCTGGTACGGGACCGGGACACATGGTAATGTGCACCATGCAATATTTACAAGCTGTTTTTAATAAAAACTTTGTCCTCACTCATCACCATTTATGGAGTATGTGAACCTAATTATCAATGTTCAGGAACTACCTTTCTTCATTACAGAGCATGTTCTGTAATGCCTATGTTCTGTAAAACTGGGAGAGAACCACAGAGTTAAAAATAGAGGCTTTTACATAGAAATCTATTTGGAGATTCGGAGAGAGAAGACGTGGGTCGAGAACTTTCCTCATGGGATCACCTGACACCTCTCTCCTTGCACAGTGCTCTTTATACACTGGGGAACTGACACTCGTCCTCTTAGTCTGCCTGCCAGAAGAGGGGAAAGGAGTGCTGGAGAGAAGCTCAGACGGCTGTGTTGGGTGTTGAGCGAAAAAAAAGCATTTTAATTCTGTAAACTGTCAAGCGCTGAAAATTCAACAGCAAAGGTAACAAGAATAAAAAGCATAAATTGCTTTCTGGCCTTGCTTCATAGTCTGTCTTGCTTACTGCTTTCAACGTCTAACTGCAGAAGTCAAATTCACAAACAAGTGAGGCTTGCATGGTTCTTTTCAAACAATCGCATGACAAAATAAATCTAATTCTCTATGAAGAAAAGTGCTCACGTTTCTCAATTTCCACAAAGGTCATGGGTGGTTTCTGTGTGGGTGGTTAATTTCCATGTAAAACAGTCTTGCAACAAGTTTCAGATGTTGGTACAGTGCTGCACAACAGTTTGTCAGCATTTTCTGCTCTGTGTTACCCAACTGGATAACAAGTGATAATTCAATAATAAGTTCTGTTTGCAACATATCTGGAGCCTTGGAGGACAATGATTGACACATTTGCAGAAAGAAAACAGGAGATAAGCCAAGAAACGTTATGCTCTGTGATTTAGTGTAATAATCAACTGGGTGTTTGTGATTTCACAGCTCCTAAAAGGGTCTTGCTCCCTTAGTTTGGCAATTAATTCAAAACACGACTCCAAGAACTGTGATAATAAGAGGACTACTTTGCTAATCCTTCTGAATGTCAATGCTGTCCATTTTTTTTTTCACATCATTAGTTTTAAAAGGAACCAGGCCAGGTTTGAGTCTCTGATTAACTGATCCCTGAAGATTTTTTGTCACAGTCCATTCATTACTATGCAGACATGAGGATACTCTATATAATAAGTGAAAGCTATTTAGAGCCAGCTGTCGGAAAATAGATACACCAGTCACTACTGCAGGATTAGTGTAGCACATTTAAAAGCTTGAGTAAGACACTCTAGTATTATGTTGCCAAGGCAGAAGAGCAGTAGTATATGTTTCAAGTGTCAGCTGGTCATTTAAGTCACTGTGGTACTGTGACAGCACACACCGCAAACCGGACCTCACGTGGTAGTGGTGTCTGGGCTTATGTAACAGCACCAGGTTCACCTTTCTAGATGCTTACAGTAACATTTTAATAACATTTTCACACAGAAAATGTTAGAACTATAAAAATACAAACAGATAATAATCTTGGCTCAATAATGATGAGTATGTGCAAAAATGTGGGATTGCAGTACTACGTTTCTCTTCTGTGTCACAGATGTCTAAAGGACCAGCAGTGGGTATTGATCTAGGCACCACATATTCCTGTGTGGGAATCTTCCAGCATGGCAAAGTGGAGATCATTGCTAATGACCAAGGAAACAGGACGACACCCAGTTATGTGGCTTTCACAGACACAGAGAGACTTATTGGAGATGCCGCCAAGAACCAGGTGGCTATGAACCAACCAACACTGTATTTGGTAAGAACTCCAATACCCAACCGACAAATCGGTTGAAGCAGTGATCAAATAAAGTATTCTTTGTGTCCTCACTTTATAACCACGTAAATATTGTCGATACACTCCAAACTGAACATTACATTAACCAATTCGAATTTTTCCATTAAATCTATTTCCAGATGCAAAGCGTCTGATTGGTCGTAAGTTTGACGATCTCGTGGTACAATCTGATATGAAGCACTGGCCCTTCAAAGTCATTAATGAGTCATCCAAACCTAAAGTGGAGGTTGAATATAAGGGTGAGATCAAAACCTTCTACGCAGAGGAGATATCCTCGATGGTCCTCACCAAAATGAAGGAGATTTCTGAAGCATATCTTGGCAAGGTAGATAAAGTGAATGGATACAGGATCGTTGAAATTAGGTGGAAAGTGGGTTTTATGCAGGAAAAAACCCTGCAACTATCAGCAAACTAAACTGGCTAATCTTTCTAATATGAATACTTCTTGAAATATAATAGCACTGAAGTTTAATGACTTTGACATGAAGCAGGTTCCCCAGGTTATCTAGTGTCTGTGGTGTCTGTATAGTAAATTATAGTTAGATAAAGTGGTTCCTTACAGTTTTCATGTTTGCAGTTTCAGATCTAAAAAAAAGAAGCAATATTAACTTAGTGTCTTATTCTCTTTACAGCCTGTGACCAATGCAGTCATCACAGTTCCAGCTTACTTCACGATTCCCAGCGTCAAGCCACCAAAGATGCTGGGGCCATCTCTGGCCTTAATGTACTGCGCATCATCAATGAGCCTACTGCTGCAGCTATTGCTTATGGACTGGACAAGAAGGTAAGCTAATTTTAAAATGTTCAGCTTTTGCTATTTTGGCTTCCTCTTTGTAATTCTCTCCTCTCATTTAGGTCGGTGGGGAGCGCAATGTGCTTATCTTTGACCTCGGAGGTGGTACTTTTGATGTGTCAATCTTGACTATTGAGGACGGTATCTTTGAGGTGAAGGCCACTGCTGGTGACACACACTTGGGCGGTGAGGACTTTGACAACCGCATGGTGAACCATTTCCAGCTGAGTTTAAACGCAAGTTCAAAAGGACATCATCAACAACAAGCGAGCCGTGCGTCGCCTCCGCACAGCCTGTGAACGCGCCAAGCGTACCCTTTCCAGCAGCACCCAGGCCAGCATCGAGATCGACTCGCTCTATGAAGGTACAGATTTCTACACTTCCATCACAGGGCCCGTTTCGAAGAACTCAATGCAGACCTGTTCCGTGGAACCCTCGAGCCTGTGGAGAAGTCCCTGAGGGATGCCAAGATGGACAAGACACAGATCCATGATATTGTCCTGGTGGGCGGCTCCACACGTATCCCTAAGATTCAAAAGCTGCTCCAAGACTTTTTAATGGTCGTGACCTCAATAAGAGCATTAACCCTGATGAGGCTGTCGCCTATGGTGCAGGTGGGTCTCTGCAGTATTATCACTATATATTTGGCTATATTATTGGCACTATGGCTCAATAAAACAGAGCTGCTGACTGAAACCATAATCAGTTTAACTTTGTGGAAAATCTCCACAGCTGTGCAGGCCGCCATCTTGGCTGGGGATAAGTCTGAGAATGTACAGGACCTACTCCTGCTGGATGTCACACCCCTTTCCCTGGGAATCGAGACAGCTGGAGGAGTAATGACTGTCCTTATCAAAGAAACACCACCATCCCCACTAAGCAAACCCAGACCTTTACCACCTATTCAGACAACCAGCCCGGTGTGCTCATTCAGGTACATCAGGGTTAAAGTTGTGTAACTGTTTAACCCTTATGCCCAGCTGCATTCTAGGTACTTGTGTACACTAAAACCTGACTCTGATACATTAAGCTACAATATGAATAATTGTTTTCAGGTGTATGAAGGTGAGAGAGCCATGACTAAGGACAATAACATCTTGGGAAGTTTGAACTGACTGGTATTCCA